CCCCCCCCCCCCCCCCCCCCCCCCCCCCCCCCCCCCCGCGCTCACAAAGCCGGAGGCGTGGTGAGAGGCCGGCGGCCGGAGCGTGTGAGCGCCCGCCGGCCTCCAGCCCCGCCCCGGCCGCCCGCCGCCCGCCGCCCGCCGCCCGCCGGGGACCCACTTGTAGCCGCCGCAGGATCAAACTCAGTTCACCTCTCGCCTCCTCTTCCTTCTCGCCGGCGTCTCGCTGAGCTCGGCACCTACAGACGGACGAGAGGAGACACACACACACACACACACACACACACACACACACACACACGGTGCGCTCTCGCACAGTGCCCGCTTGGCTGCTAGGCTACTTCCCTCCCTCCTTTCCTCCCTCCCGGTCCCCGGGCCCCCTCCTCCCGCCCCGGGCAGTCCCGTGTGGGCTGTCGCCCCAGCGGCTGAGGTCTCCGCCAGACTGCCCCTCGATTGAGGGCCACCGAAAGCCCCTGGACCTGTGCTTGGGGTCCCAAGCTCCAATCCCGCGGAACCCCGCCGGCTCCTATCTCCCGGGATCCCTCAACCCTCCCAATTTGCCCTTCCCAATTCCCCCTAGCCGGGGTCCCCTATCCCGGATCCGGGCATCCCCAAACCTCAGATGCCAAGGTCTGTCCGCCACCACTGTCCCCCCTCCCTCGCGCAGATGTCTCTCATCCTCCAAGGCTCCTATGTTCCCCTCTCCCCGTCCGCATGCAGGGCGGCTCACGCTGCAGTCTTTCCTCTTGGACCCCCTAACTTTGTAGTCCCCTCCGCCCCCCGCAGCGTCGGAGGAACCCCAGTGCTGGTCCCGGTGAGGGTCCCGCGCTGAGGACAAATGCCGCAGCCCCGGCACCCGGAGGCGGGAGGAGTCGGGCACAAACGTTCATTGATACAAATGAGTAAATAAACATGCTGGGTGAGCGCGGCCACCTTCTCGGAGCCGGCCGCAGAAGGGCCCGGCGCGCGTGCCTGTGCGAGGTGTGCGTGTGGCCCGGGGCCGCACCTGTGTGTGCGCGCGTGTGTCCTTGGGTCGGCCCGACATCTGAGGAGCTGGGCGGTGTGTCTGCGGGTTTGTGTGTTCTCTCGGGAGCTAAATGTGTGTCTGTGCATCCGTGCATCCGTCTGGCATCTGGCCTCTCCTCCTGCGTGTCTGTGATACATGGAGCTCCGCGTGCCAAGCCCGGCATCATCCAGCTAGTGCCTGGCTCGCCCTCTCCCGTAGGTCCTTTTCCCCCCAGCCCCCTTGTCTCTGTCTTTCACTCTCTCACACTCCCGGAGCCGAAGACTTGATATCCCACCTTCAGTTTAGGGCGGTGTGTGTGTAAACGAAACTAGACTCCCCTTTTAACACCTCCCCTGCACCCAGTACGTGTTCTATTTTAGAGTTCACTAGAAGAGAACGTGTGTGAGTGTCTAAGGTGCGAGCATATGTGCTGTCCCTCCCTGTATGAGCGCTTCGGAGGTTGAAGTGGCGGCAGAGATTTGAAAGCTGTGGTCTCTTGCTTCTAGAGCTGTCATCTCGACTCTCACTCTCGGCCTTGGAACCCCACCTGGTGGACAGTTGGAGTACTACAGATGCAGGGGGAAGCAACTCCTGTGCCTCCCGCGGTCAGTCTCCCTAAAGGGCGGGCATGCCGGCTCCCACCGGGCTCCTCTCCCGCCCCAGTGCCCTCACATTTCCACTCCAGGCAGCTTGGGGCCCAGGCAGTCACAGAGTTCCTGTCAGGACTACCGTGGCCCTAGAAATACAAAGCTGGGGCACACCCTCACAACAGGGAGGTCTCACAGGACAGTCAATGGGACCGGGCGCCCGGGAGGGGTGCGACCGGCGCCACCTCGCTCCCCACTTGGGGTTGAAGCTGGATGAGAATGGGGCTGGAGGGGATTGTTGAGGCCCCATTACTTTGAAGAGCCCTAAGAAACCTGCCCCGACCCCCAGATACAGCACTGGCCCCAAGGTGGTGAAATGGGCAAGATGACCTTGGGGAACCCACCCACGGAGACATCCCTCTCTGAAAGGACAGATACACACGCATCTGTAAACGATGGACACACAGTCTCATTGAGCTACAAACAGATGCACAGGCAAATAGTGAGCACGCACACATACGTAGGAAGGCACATGCACTCAGAGACTCATCGTCAACAAATTCACACAACACCCACCTCCCAGCCACCAACCTCAAAAGTCCACAAGAGTGTCTGCTCTGCGGGGATCACAGCCCCAGAAGTCATTGTGTTCCCCTTCCCTGCCCATACTCCCGGAGAAGGCTTTGGTGTACTTTCCTCCTCTCCTCCTGTTCGGTGGCCGCAGAGTGGGAGTTGGGAGGGGGCATGGGGAAGTCATTCTGAGTCCTTTTTGCTCAGCCACCAAGTGGGGTCCTGGGGAATGTCCACAGGGACAGCCCGGCCCCACAACAATAGTTGCTGGATTTCCTAATTGGAACCATCTCTTTGCTCAAATCCCAAAAAGCACTTAGGACAAAAGAGAAGAAAAGCCATGGTGGTATAATTTTCTAAGACGTGCCAGAGATGCTGGGGAAAGTAGGAATGCTGGGTCTGTGGAGCAGGCTCACCAGGAGGGGCCAGGACAGAGAAGGGTCAGCAATCATCTTCACCAGTCATATTCCGTCAGAGGACATTCCTTCCTCCACCTCACGTGGACTTCTCACCCTGGCCCCGGACCTCAGTCTGACCCATCACCCGGACCTAAAACAAACCCCTGCGCCTAATTTCCAGATCGACCCTTAATCCTGGTCACAGATTGACCCTGCTCCTGACCCCAGACTGAACCCCAGTCCTCTCGAACATCACCCAACCCCTCCTTTGGCCAAAGGAATGTGGCTGGCCCCTGGTGGACTGCCCCAAAGGTGGGTCACAGCTCAACACGTGAGGCTCAAGGAGCAAGAGTGGGCTATTGGACAGAATATTTTTCTCATTCTGGCCTGAGAATGATCTACCCATTCCCCCATAAGCAGCCATCTCCCTCCAGGCTGGCTGCAGCTAGTATCTCAGGGAATCCTGTACACTCTCCCTCCATTCCAACCCCATCCACAGTCATCTTCCCTGGGGCCCAGGGCACACCCAGCCTCCAGCTATTGCCTGCAGTGCTCTGAAGCCTTGGCTCACAGCTTGTGTTTCATATCCCTGTGGGCCTTCGGGCACCTCAAAATCAGTCAGAACGGACAGGGGATCCGTCATGGGGATGCTGGTTCAAATGGAGTTCTGCACGGATGGACTTGGCAGTGCTTGGCAGAAGGGGCAAGGAGAATGCGGAGGGCAGGCCGTAGGCACTTTTAGAATATGCACATGATGGGCAAGGCACAGCCTCTGCACCCTCTCCCTGGACTCAGAAAACACCCATCCACAGGGGCAAATCGGCCCCAAAGCCTGCTCCTCATCAAGTCACAGAGCTCCCTGGGAGTGTCCTGGAATTTCTATGCCTAAAGGAATGGAGGCATTGCACCTTTCAAATTCCTTCTATGCGTGCGGTCGGGCCGTAGAGCCCACACATCTCTTCCGCTGCACTATTGTGTTTCGTCTCCACCCAGCCCCATGCGATAATGCTCTTTTTAGATACTAGATATACATATTACTTTTTGTACCGATGAGAAAACTGAGGCCCAGAGCCTCCCGTGCCCACTGTACTGGCTACTCCCTCTTCCCCCAAACGAGCACACAGCCCCATGAGACCTGAGGTCCTATCCCACATGGCATCTGCCCCTTTGTTTAATGTCCATTCTGACCATAAAAGCTGACAGCAGAGTTGTCAATTTTATACTCAATTTTGCATAGTTTTGGCCTGGATTTTTAAAAACTTACACTTATTTTCTTTCTTTTCCCTAAAACTGCCTCTGCTTCCTCCAACCAGAGTCCAAGGAGAACGGTGGTCAGAGAGCAGAGACCAGGAGGTGGTGGGCAGGACGCAGAGCTGGTATTCAGGGG